GACCCGCCAGCAATGTACAAGTCCTATTTTTTGTTTAATCCAATACAATGGCACAATATAACAACAATTTGCAACCAATTTCAGAAAATAGAGTATTTTGATAAAACTTGAAATTAGTTTTATAAACAATCCTTATCATAAAAGTTTTTAAGGATCGAGATCAAGGGCCGTTCCACTCGAGTACGTGTGCTCTAATAGAATTCTTTCAGATTTAAAGCTTATCTTGCCTCGCCTATTAGCAGTGATTTGAAATTCCAAATCAAACATTTTAGTGTATTTAAGAGGCAATGGTCATTGGTCTTGATACGAAACACTAACAAATTGAAAAGAATAGAAAACGGGTAGATTCGAGTTTTAAATACCGCATTTAATTGATCGGCCATTGTCTATCTTATCTAAATAGCTTGTCTTCAGAATCACTAATGTTGAAACTGTCTCCTCTGCAAATAATTTCAATTGTTAAGTTGTTTTCCAATAGAGTATGACAGACGTCAGTTGGTTGATTGTGGACAAACTTTAACGCGGTCAGTACGTCGAGCAGTCAGACGAGAAGCAACATTTGACGTCAGGGTAGTCACGCGCTAAAGTTTGAACAGAGATTCTTGCAGCTCTTCTGGATTAGAGGGAAGATTATCATGGGTATGTTTGGCCAGATAAGAACAGATGTTTGTCTGGTATACCTGGAAAAGATGACCACAAAATCTTGAACCAATCCAACTACCTACTAGAAGCGAGCGTTAACTTGTCATCATCCAACAACTACCTAGTTTGTGATATCAGCATCCGCTGGAAGCGAGCGTTAACTTGTCATCATCCAACAACTACCTCGTCTACGATATCAGCATCCGCTGGAAGCGAGCGTTAACTTGTCATCATCCAACAACTACCTAGTCCACGATATCAGCATCCAAAAAATACTCAAGACATTAAAATGACAGATTTTGCCAGCAACTCTGAGAACAATTTGGATATAAACCTACACACAAATGTTTTTAAAAATCGGACAAAAAAGCACTAGTCTTTATCACGTTCACTAGTCAAATGACAGGGGCGAAGGCAATATACGTGAACATTAGAGTGTAGCTTTAGGCAGCATAGCAAAAGAAGCAAATATATTAAAACTGTGGCATTTGTTCGACAAATAGAACGTGTATTATATATACAAAATACCTCAAAAAATGAAGTAACACAAATTTTTCCTACATAAATATTTGCACAAATGGATATGATTTTCAAATGTTAAGAAATGCTTGTAAAATAATACGATATGTTATTTTGAAGAGAGCCGGGGAACGTTTGTCTAAACTTATTGTGAAAACAACGATTACAAAGAACGAGAAGAAGAAGAGATTGTTGAATAGTTGATCTTTATACTCTTAGAAAAATAATAAGAAAGAATGACACAGCATTGAAGCAAGCCTAAAATTATCGGCGTATTTACGCTTCTCACTTTACAAACCTTGGTTGAAGAATATAATTTTCACATTAGTACGGTCGCAGATGAATTTGGCATGCCTGATTTAATCTTCCTTTATAGATCTTTTGTGTGGCAGGATTCGACCGTCCTCATTAGCTATTTTGATGTTAAGTGACTCAGACAAGTGTAAACGTTCAGTATATAATATATCACGCTATACGATATTGCATTGAGCTGTTTTCCGTCAATTTTTTTTCTTTCATGAAATTTATGACAAAATTTTTTTTTTTGTACTAAAATACCACACTAGTCGATAAGCTACCTCCCAAATCTCTTGTCAGTGTTTCGTATAAAATGGTTTCCTGGTCGATGTGTTAAACATAAGTACAAGACCAACTATGCAGCTATGTTGCTTTTGAGGTTCACAATTACAATGGACTTATTTTCGATATATGTCTTTTCAATTTTCGATATTTTTGTTGTTGAAAATTTAAAAAATAAATGCATCATAAAATCATAAAGTTCATGACAGTAACTGATGTCTGCATTTCTTTTTGTCACATCAAAATTTTTAACAAAGCATGGTTTATCATGACGAATATTACTGTAGAATACTTATGTACACCCGTTATGTCCCTTGCCCTCCCCTCCTACTAAAAAAAGGAGAATAAAAAAAAGGAAAGATGTTCCTTCAAGGTCAACAAAATGAGTCAATTTGGGAAATGTTAATACGTTTTGCTTCTTATGCAGTGCAAATATGAATTAAATTTGTGCAGGTAAAACTACTTTGTTATATGGCCATTTATCACATTACAGCTACAGTTAAATTTCATATCCGAATAATCGAGACAACTTACTGATAGAGGTTATACGATTGATGATAACGTGAAAAATAACAAAAAAACGTATGGCAGATAGTGACACTCGCGAATAGTGCAGAAGGAAAATATTTGACCATGTAAAATATTTGTCGTCGACATGCTTCAGAAGGAAAATGTCATTTTTACGCGTGTCGGACAATTTGGGCGTTTCAAAACATGGCAAATTCATGTTATATTGTAGCCTTTTAACGTGACTTTTTCTTAAAAATGACGAAAATTGTTAATTTAGTATCCTAAATAGATTGTCTTGAATAAAAGGTCTTGACTCTTCGAACTTTTCAACTCAGTTTTAATCCAGTTAAGCCTTTCACTATGTGTTTTTCAAAGTAAATTACTATTTCCATATTGTCAATAACTATGTATTTTTAACGGGATTCGATACATCATTGTATACAATAATGACAGACAGAACATAACTAAACTACTAATGAATACCTTTTGATCTTAAATTTTCCATTATTGACATTATACAAAGCTATTCATGTTTCATGATTTTTTAGTTGTAAATTTTCATTTTGTTTTACCATTTTTCCACCTTGCGACTAGGACATATGGTCCAGTTATGCTACCCCTAATATGTGTATATAATATATATATATAATAGTGTAATATGTGCTCATAATCAAAAACAAACAAAAAATATTTTCACTGTTAAAATAGTGTTCAATGCATCAATTGTAGAGCGATATAAAAATATCACTATCAAAATAGTGCTCAATACATCAATTGTAGAGCGATATAGAAATACCACTGTTAAAATAGTGTTCAATACATCAATTGTAGAGCGATATAGAAATACCACTGTTAAAATAGTGCTCAATACATCAATTGTAGAGTGATATAGAAATACCACTGTTAAAATAGTGCTCAATAATCAATTGTAGAGTGATATAGAAATACCAGTGTTAAAATAGTAGCTCAATACATCAATTGTAGAGCGATATAGAAATACCACTGTTAAAATAGTGCTCAATACATCAATTGTAGAGTGATATAGAAATACCACTGTTAAAATAGTGCTCAATAATCAATTGTAGAGTGATATAGAAATACCACTGTTAAAATAGTGCTCAATACATCAATTGTAGAGCAATATAGAAATACTACTGTTAAAATAGTGCTCAATACATCAATTGTAGAGAGAAGTAGAAATTTTAAAACAGAACCTAAAAAATAACATGTTGTTACTCACTCGCTGTGTGATCCTCAGACACATGACCTATTTTCAGCGTGCGTCCCAACTGAATTTGGACAAATTACGGATTTAGTAGCTTTCGGTATGACCGAGGATTGCCGAGTCACAAACCAAATCGCAAAGTGACCTAAGGTGTTCGAAATTTGCTATTTAATCAAAAGCATTCTCTGAATTATTTCTTTTTACTTTTTAATCAACTGTAGGCGCAGACAGTCTTAAGTTTTTAGTTGTAGATTATTACTTTAGGCAAAAAAAAAAACAACAAAGGAATTTGAGATATTTACCTTCAAGAGACCAACAATCAGTACTAGAAATCTGAAATTTGAATGACAAAAATAAATCTACATCATAATATTCTATCTCTTTTTAATAGAAGATCCATTAAAAACTAATAAACCCCGTACTGGAAATCATATGGTCTTCGACTCGGGTTATACAAATTTCGTCTTTCAATTGGACCCTTGAAACTTTCAAGTTTTTTGTAATTGAACGATGTAGCTAAAATGTACCCCTTTAAAAAAACAAAAGATTATCCATATAAAGCAAGTACCACTTTCTCGATTGTGTTCACTGCTTAGATATTAAGGTTCTATTCTTCGCATTTATGCTAAAATTCATATATGCAATAGAGTAAGTAATGTTTTATGATCTTTCGAGCTGCAAATGGCTACAGTATCAGTCATATTTTCTTATTATATTTACATGGTATATATTTCGATATGATTCTGCAATGGATAATACATCGAATGGTATTTTTCATGTTAGTGCTGAAATCGAACATGGTATGACAGACGGTCTTCTCGCTATCTACCCCGTCCTATAATAAAAGATAATAAAATTCAAATCTCATATTGGAATATTTTATAACATGATTGGATGACAATATACATTTCTTTTTGGACATAACAACAATAAATAATTACATGATTTATAACCACTATAAAATAAACAACACAAGAACGGTTCATATCAGAGTTAAAATAAACAACACAATAATGGTTCTTGTTTATTAATCCAAATTAACGTCATAAAGACAGTTGTTGTCAAAGCTTAAATAAACAACACAAAACGGTTCATTTCTGTGTCATTTCCAGCTCCATAACAAGGAAGTATTCACAGCAATAAGAGTCAGTCCATAATTACAATGGTTACAAGAATGGACCTTATCGAAACTCTTATGAACCTCACGAGAATGGTTTGTAACCAATCCCAATACTGGCCTTTTCCTGGCATCTAATGTTTCTAATATGACATTCTTGTGGCATTCGGGTCGACCTTGCGTCTGGCAGAATCTAGATGCAGTTACATTAAGACCCAACGTCACCGTCGACTGAAAAATTGGTCGAAATCTGCGAGCAACCACACTTGCTGGTAGTCGGGACGTTATATACAGGCTCACAGCTCCTTTTTCTGTAAATTAAAGTTCTATAATGAAAAGGAAACTAAACTTACTTCTTTGCAAATATTCTAATGAACAATAATTATGTTTCTATATTAAAACTCTATTTTATTTACAAGTATACTCTTCCGTTCGTTCACTACACTTATTGCAATTAACATAACAACACCAGTGAAATTTACAGTTACACTGCCACGTACGCGTATATTGATGCGTATTATAGCCACGTCCACAACACATCAAGTCACAACCGTCCGTGTCTTTTGTTGTACGATTACACTTCCTACCAACTGTTCCTAAGGATCCAGTTTTTCCGTCAAAATCACAATAATTGGGGGATTTATCCAGATACACCAGATGACTTCTTCTGGGTTTTCTGTGTGGTCTTTTAGCACGTTTTAATATTAATGTCACCGCCGTTCGAGCACGTCGTCCTAAATATGGCACCACTATTTTTGATTTTTTATATCTCTTTTTCAAAGAGTCTCCTATCTTTCGAAAAGGAGGTAATGTTGTCCAACACGTTTTCATTGTACATGAACCGGAAACGCCGTGACACTTGCAATCTGTTCCCATATTATCTTTAACGGCCTGAAAAAAAATAAAAACACTATTATTTCAATAACATCCTAGCAGCAAGCTGAACATTTAAAATGCTTACCGCGTTCAATAATCTACATAACATTAACAGTATTAAATGGAATTCCCTTTCACAGTTCAAAATCTGTTAGTCAATGATTCTCAGCAGGTGAGGAATTTCTCCCAAGGGAGGAATTGGAAGACCATCGGGAGGAATTAATTCCAGTTATAGAAATGGGAGGAATCGTCGAACACGAGAGGAATTAGGAGGCAAGGTGATCTACGACTGACATCATTCACCCAGGACATACCAAAAATCGTGGGAACATTCAGTCCAAGGGTCACATTGAACTATCTTGATATGTGGTGTATGATTTTATATCTATTCATGGTTATTCGTTGGATAAATTTTTCGAGTGAAATACGTTTCAAAATGATGAATTTATTTTGTGGAGGAATAGATCTGCCCGAGGTTCAGAAGTACTGTGTTAGGTCATTCCGTCCCTATCTGACAAAAAAAAACAACAAATGCATATCCAAACGCAATTCACAAATATATAAAAGCCAACAAAATCAATGAATACTCCGTGTATCTGGGGGGTAACTCAGTAAGATTTTGAACTATAGATTACAAAGAATACAGTCGAGAGAAATAGACATAACTTCATTAATGTTTTGATCTTAAAGAACACTCGAGTATAAAAAGATATTCACATAACCTCAAGTTTCATTCCCACATGTTAACGGATTATAGACCCTTTGATTTCGGCATGTTGATAATGAATTATAATTGCGTAAAGTACTGGTAATACTATAATTAAAGAACATAAATAACTTTGTGTAAGGGCGGTAGAATAAAAATGAAACATCAAACAACGAAAAACAGACGCTAACCAAAGGATCGATATTTTTCAACCGTTCAAATCAGAAGTACGAAAAGGGAATATTTGACTGGTGTTAGTCGTTTTCAGTGCAGAGGGACAACGATAATATGCTGTTATTGCTCGTCGAAAAAATCCGAATAATCAAAAAATATTTAAAATGATTCTGAAAAAAAATTCATATACCAATAAAAATCCTTCTTGGTGGGTTTTTATGACAAAATTGGTCACACCTTTTAATATATTCCGAACGTAAGGCATAACTGTGCGTTTAGCAAGTTGTAGATAACGTACAATACGTTTGAATTCTAATCGAGTTTGTTTAATATTTAATATCTGGGAAGGATAACATAAGCAAAGCCTGTTCCCAATCATTTGTGTTCCAAGAAAGTTGATTAATGACAACAGAAATAATATTGATCAATAACGTTTCCAGATACAAATACGAGAATCTTTTAGCTTCAAAGTTCTTGATCCAAATGTCCTGATAAGGAGAACATGAAAATAGAATAGTACGAGGTTTTGTCACAAAGTCCTCGATTTATAACACTAAATGACAACAAGAGATACTCTAACCCTTCCTGGCTAAACAGAAACATCTGATTTGACCTCTTGCTCTTGATGGTACACTATGATAATATCCTAGTCTGTTAATGGCAACATCAAAACGGATTGAAACTTGTGAATCTCAAAAATCCAAAAAGCTTACCGACTGAGACTTAATGAAAACATGTTGTGAATGTAAACTAACTTTTCTGAGACATCTTTGAAAAAAATAATTTAACTCTCGCATGTCAGGATTATGTAACGCAGTGATGTCGACAAGAGTAGAAACTGTAAAGGGATGAAAGACAAGGGAATAGAATATTAAAGTTGGTTGAAATGAGTGAAAAAGTCGTCTGAACAATGCGACTAATGTACTGTGTGTTTGTCTTTAGATTTATCAACTTGGGTGCGTAATTACTTTTTCCCACAAACCCAGTGTTGAATAAAAGAAAGCCTTCTCTTTCTTGTTTCAGTTATTTCGGGGTAACAACAGTACAAACCTATACAACTACTGTTGTTGGAAATTCCAACATGTATGCATGTCTGTGTGTAATAAAGACTATCACAAGTATTTCGAAATGTTCAAATTCTGATGCTGTTCGCGGCTTGCATTGTATTTTTAACGCTTAATTTAGTTTCAGTACGTTCTTAAACTGTTACTGCCTTTTGCAATATCGGACTTTCGATCTAGTGTCGACATTTTGAATCAACTTTTCGAGTTAGAAGAAGCTTTTACTGTCTTTCGAGTTTCTTTTATATCAGACTGAATATCTTGTTTTCCTGCATCGTCACCATCTTCCAACTTAACAGTATACTACTTCCTTACTAGAGCTATCCTAATCACAAATGGTACGGCGATCGCTTTTTGATTTAAACACATTTTATTACAACAACAGTACAATGATTTGGCAAACGTTACAAAAACTTTGCGGCGATTTTCTGTCATGCACAAGGCACTCGAAGAGAGAAATTAATATGAAAATTAATATAGATCAAAACAAAGATTTTTGAATACCGCACAAAGATTGAAATCATGAAATGACTTGAGATTTTCTCAGTCTAATATAAAACCACCACGAACTAGTTGGTGATACAAATTTGATTATAAATTCAGGCTACAAGACCTCGATCTGATTCATGGGTGGTACAGTAGAAATTCTACCTGGAAAACATCATTTACACAAGAAAAAACAGCCAAGTATTTTCTAAATATACATTTGGTCCAGTAGTTAACCTGGACATCCGAGAATAAATAAACGATACCCGATGCCTCTTTCATCAAGTCCATTGTCCAATCTTTTGTTAAGGGATATTTTCTTTTCCCTCCGAAATTTGGTCGAGGATCATCTTTTTGTTATGATGAGGTCAATATAAGCACGTTATTTGTCTATCAACGACACGTTCCACATAATTGGGTAAAAACATGAAATATTAAGCTATAGTCCCCTTTTGAATCGTGAAGATTCAATTTTAGAATACAGCTAGCGGGTCCATTGCTAAGTTGGTTATTTTAAAAAGGTTCCGCTATTTTCTGGGTGCATTTTTACCTTTCTCCCACTAAATGGGGAAATGAAGACAAGCCATGTCCAATGACGGAAATTTTACCAGGACAGCGACATTGAATGGCGAACATTATAAAACGACGGCAGTATTGAGCTAGCAATTGTCTAATCCGAACTAGCAAGGTGAGATCTGATTGAAACAAAAAATATTGGTCTTAAATGATAATCTTGTTCACAGAAACGTAAAACTATTCAGGGAGTTATTATTTTATCTGATTTTGGAACAGAAAAGAAGAAAAATACCCAGCCGATTCAGACCACCTATTTTATGAAGTATTTGTTCCATCCGAGGCCTGTACAGGTGGGGGAAGCCATCTGTCCTTTCTTCGAAATCTACCTATGCTGGAATCGAAATTTGGACCAGTGTTACTGGGTTATTTAATTATCTAATTCCAGATCACAATAGATGGAATTTCTCAATGAAGTAATTTGGTCCCATCCTACGCTTGTACATTTTTAAGAATCAAACCCTACCTTTCTCTAATCATACCCATGTAATTTATAAATGTTTCAGACCAAGAGAGAAGACATTAATCTGTTATGTGTATGTCTAGCCAAATAACTAATTTGATATTAAACCTAATAAAAACCGAACATGAAATTTGATTGGAAAAACTATGTTCACTTTATGGTCATCTTGTAAAGCGTCAATCAAAAGGGACATGTTCAATTAACCTGTATATGACCTGATTTGATATATAATTTAATATATACATTGTCTTCCTAATATACTAATAGTTACATGTTATCCTATCGAAAAATAACCAAAATATACAATTCATATGGTGTTCAAAAGTCGACAATATCAATGAGGTGGTCCAATAACTACTAATATCTCTACCTTTGATCGAAAACTATTTCTCTTCAACCTTCTAGATTCTTTGCAGATACATTCTTGGAATTTGCATAGTGAACGTTTTGTCAAAGTTTAATAGTAAGCAAATTTGTAACTTGTGTGGTTGCGAGTTTTTTTTTAAATGTTTGAGGACCCTAAAGAAAAACCTCTAGAAGAAAACGATTTTGATAAGAATTTGGAATGTGAACGATCTTAGAACTTACATAATGAATAGCTTACAGAAACTGCTTAAGGGATAGTTTTAGAACTTGTTCACACCGAATACGTATGAGAACTTGAAAAGTGAATGATTTGTGTCAGAACTTGCATAGTGAACAATTTTTATTGGAACTTGCATAGTGAACATTTTTTATTAAAACTTTTATAGTGAACAATTTTTATTAGAACTTGCATAGTGAACGATTTTTACTAGAACTTGCATAGTGAACGATTTTTATTAGAACTTGCATAGTGAACGATTTTTATTGGAACTTGTATAGTGAACGATTTTTATTAGAACTTGCATAGTGAACGATTTTTATTAGAACTTTTCTAGTGCACGATTTTTTTTAGAACATGTATAGTGAACGATTTTTATTAAAACTTGCATAGTGAACGATTTTTATTAGAACTTTTATAGTGCACGATTTTTTTTAGAACATGTATAGTGAACAATTTTTATTAGTACTTGCATAGTGAACGATTTTTATTAGAACTTGCGTAGAGAACAATTTTTATTAGAACTTGCATAGTGAACGATTTTTATTAGAACTTGCATTGTGAACAATTTTTATTAGAACTTGCAAAGTGAACGATTTTTTATTGGAACTTGCATAATGAACGATATTTTGATTAGAACTTGCATAAAGGATAGCTTTTAGAGCGTAGAATAAAGAGCAGTTAGTATTCGAACATTGTCATATCTGAGACAATATATTTATACAGAAACAAACTTAAAGTAATTAATTCACTTCCAAATAAACGCATGTGTATTATATTGTTCCAGATCACCAAAAATATGTCATGTTGAAAAGGAGTGTTTTATCACCTTATTTGTAGACGCAAAAAAAAATCTCATTCATGACCTTTTATGAATGAATTGAAAAAGGTGAATCACAATTCGGAAGATAAAATCAGTACATTTGAAGAACAATGCCTTCAAAGTCAAAATTAGACTATGTCAAGGCATAACGTTCAGCAAATGCACTGTAGATTCAATTGACCTACAAAATCATTATATGAAACGTCTGGCTCTACAGTAAAATTTTAATTTTAATTCCACTTCCCACTGCCTTTTGATCTTTTGATTCTTAATTAACAACTTTCAAGAACAAATCTGCGTATAGATTTTCATAAGTGGAAGTCGACCTAGACACAGTTTGAATAATTGAATTTTATTCGTTTTCAGACTTCCGCGACCCAATTTACATAATACTTACATCCCCCCCCCTCTTTTTACAAAAATGGTATATCTGTACAATTTTGATATCGTCAGAATCTTACTTCATCGCAATATGCTTTCTCCCAAAACGTCTTCTAAAAGTGCCGATAGTAGTTATAGATTTCTCGACTGAATTAAAAAACAACGGCAGATCGCATTTAAATAATGTTCGTATCTCTTTCATAAGTGTTAAATACTCGTTGGCGCGTTTATGTGTTTTTATTATTATTTGAAAGTCGTTCAATCAAGTAAAGCAATCAGCGAACCATGTATGGATATCAATACAATGTTATAGTAGCTTTCAAATAAACTTCATTCAAAGGAAAGTGAATGGAAAGCACATCAAGAGAGTAAAATCAAACACATTCATAAACAGTTGAGAAAATATTTTTTCGCGTGTATGCGTTTAAGAAATAAAACAATTTCTGGGTCAGAACAGTTTTCTATTTCTATAAATTCTATCAATAAAAATCGTTTGATTCAAAAATCTTTTCAAATTTTGTCTCATGTTAGTATGACCTCAAAGCAAATATTACGAGTATTTTGAAACGTTTATTGTTTCCAAAGGTATTATTTATCGACACCGTTACAAAGTGTTTTAGCGTTAACCAATTTGAAACTTTACAACAAGGAATATTGAGATGAAAACTATATTGCAATTGATATCGATAAAGGGAACTGTACTGCAAGTAATATGGAGATAGGAAACTATTCTGCAAGTTATTTCAAGAAAAGAAGCTTTTCTACAAGTAATATCGAGATAACAAACTATTCTAGAAGGAATATTGAGAAAGAAACTTTTCTTCGAGAAATATCGAGATAGGAAACTATTCTACAAGGAATATCGAGATAGGAAACTATTCTACAAGGAATATCGAGATAGGAAACTATTCTACAAGGAATGTTGAGAAAAATTTTCTACCAGAAATGTTGAGATAGGAAACTACACTGCAAGTAATATCGAGATAGGAAATTATACTACAAGGATTATAGCAATATGAAACTATTCTACAAGGATTATCGAGATAATAAACTATTCTACAAAGAATATCGAGATAAGAAACTATTTAAGAAGGGAAATCGAGATGGGAAACTATACTATAAGTAACAACGAGATAAGAAACAATACAACATATTCCATCGAAAAAGGAAACTGTTCTACATGGAATATCGAGATAAGAAACAATTCTACAAGGAATATCGAGATAAGAAAGAATTCTACAAGGAATATCGAGATAAGAAACTATTCTAGAAGGTAAATCGAGATGGAAAACTTGGAATATCGAGATAAGAAACAATTCTACAAGGAATGTCGAGATAAGAAACTATTCTAGAAGGGAAATCGAGATGGGAAACTATACTATAAGTAACATCGAGATAAAAAAACAAAACAACATATTCTATCGAAAAAATATCGAGATAAGAAACAATGTTTCATATCTGTCGTAAAAGGGAACTATTTTACAAGGAATATCGAGATAGGGAACCATCCTTTGAGTACTATCGAGATAGGAAACTATGCATCAAGATAGGAAACTATACTATAAGTAATATCGAGTTCGGAAACTATACTATAAGTAATATGGAGATAGGACACTATACTATAAATAATATGGAGATAGGAAACTATACTATAAGTAATATGGAGATAAGACACTATCCTATAAGTAATATGGAGATAGGAAACTATACTATAAATAATATGGAGATAGGAAACTATACTATAAGTAATATGGAGATAGGAAGCTATACTATAAGTAATATGGAGATAGGAAACTATACTATAAGTAATATCGAGTTCGGAAACTATACTATAAGTAATATGGAGATAGGACACTATACTATAAGTAATATGGAGATAGGAAACTATACTATAAGTAATATCGAGTTCGGAAACTGTACTATAAGTAATATCGAGTTCGGAAACTGTACTATAAGTAATATGGAGATAGGACACTATACTATAAGTAATATGGAGATAGGACACTATACTATAAGTAATATGGAGATAGGAAACAATACTATAAGTAATATGGAGATAGGACACTATACTATAAGTAATATGGAGATAGGAAACAATACTATAAGTAATATGGAGATAGGACACTATACTATAAGTAATATGGAGATAGGACACTATACTATAAGTAATATGGAGATAGGACACTATACTATAAGTAATATGGAGATATGAAACTGTACTATAAGTAATATGGAGATAGGACACTATACTATAAGTAATATGGAGATAGGACACTATACTATAAGTAATATGGAGATAGGAAACAATATTATCAGTTATATGGAGATAGGACACTATACTATAAGTAATATGGAGATAGGACACTATACTATAAGTAATATGGAGATAGGAAACTGTACTATAAGTAATATGGAGATAGGACACTATACTATAAGTAATATGGAGATAGGAAACTGTACTATAAGTAATATGGAGATAGGACACTATACTATAAGTAATATGGAGATAGGACACTATACTATAAGTAATATGGAGATAGGAAACTGTACTATAAGTAATATGGAGATAGGACACTATACTATAAGTAATATGGAGATAGGACACTATACTATAAGTAATATGGAGATAGGACACTATACTATAAGTAATATGGAGATAGGAAACAATACTATAAGTAATATGGAGATAGGACACTATACTATAAGTAATATGGAGATAGGACACTATACTATAAGTAATATGGAGATAGGACACTATACTATAAGTAATATGGAGATAGGAAACTGTACTATAAGTAATATGGAGATAGGACACTATACTATAAGTAATATGGAGATAGGACACTATACTATAAGTAATATGGAGATAGGACACTATACTATAAGTAATATGGAGATAGGAAATTATACTATAAGTAATATGGAGATAGGAAACTATACTATAAGTAATATGGAGATAGGAAACTATATTATCAGTTATATCGAAATAAAAAGCATCTTTTAAAACAACAATAATTTCTATTGTTTGTTTATTTGCCAAAAATGTAAGAAAGGCAATAAATTTGTCTCTAAAATCAAAATGTCATTATCGATTGCCTCGGGCAAATTTGATCACTCGATCAGATAAAGCGACAACAATATTTCGTATTTTAAGATTTTTTCATATTCTCTATTTTAAACCGTTTTGAGACATAGAAAATCGATACAATCAAAAAGAAATTTATTTTTTAATATCATGCAGTCAATTTTCATCAGATAAGATATTTATTATTTGATGTAAATTGCGCACTAGAAACTATGGGCAAAGCGTTAGGGGGACAAAAATATATCAAATTAGAAATTGCTATTTCACCAAGGTCATGAAAAATTTTTTATGTGTATTTTATCCATTTTATGTTCTGAAGAAGGAAGGTGCAAGACAGGGCATATAACATTAAGCTCTAATGTAAAAAAAAATCTTATTCTGTGATACAGCGTTTCGACAATTTACATTCTAATCATCAATGCGTTTCAGCATTTCATGAAACCACCTTTCTCAATGAACAGAACACCTTCCATAGGTTTCATTTGGAACTACTTAAGCTTGTATTAGGAGTAGATATATATGATACTTATACAGATATGACTACCAATAAAGGTTTACGTTTCAAAAACAATCCGTGTCATAACTGTCAAGATAAAAATAAAAACGAAAAGTACACCACAAAAATAAAACAAAGATATACAAACCTTTCTGCCGGCTCTATTATTATGTAAGTTCATTAAAGACCTAGCATTTTGTGCGATTTCTCGTGCATCCATGAATTTTCTGGCTAAACGTAATCCATGTTTAATGTCCGCACTACACCCACCCCACTTCCAGCCCTGGGGAGCTAATTTCCCATCCCCTTTGTCTTTATCACAGCCACAATTCGGTAAACTTCCCAATCCACATGACTGAGTTATAGCATAACTAACACCAGCCGACGTCATAGCATAAATAAAAGCTGCTTCTTTTGTACCTGAAATCAATAAACAAAAGTATCATGAGTTAGCTATTCGGAGCGTTTTGCAGTGCCCTGAGCTTGCATTGATACCGATTACTCTTTTCGAAGAAATGCAGGATTAGGGACTTATTTTAGATTCTGAAGACCTTATCTAGATATGATTTTTTCAATGTATGAAATTGCCCTGTTGTGGCAAAATACTGTTTCCGATGATTAATGGAGAATCCAGCTTATGAAAACATACCGTGTGGGTTTAAAAGAAAAAAAGCTTATTCAATGCTGTCAGCCTTGAAAGGATAACATCATCCAATTATATGCTTTACCAACAAAGTACAGATGTAGTTATTCACACCACCTTTCAGAATTAAATATTTAAACTACTAAGCCTAAATGAACAGTATTTTGTAGTATCAAGTAATACTAGTAATATAATTTGAGCTCTTTGTCTGTAATAGCAAATGATTTGAGTAATTGTTTGGACTTAATGCTGAAATATCCGCAACAACACAGGATGGGGAAGGAGGGGATTGCATCTAAAAATGACCAAAGAGGGTCCATAACTAAGCAGTTATTCAAAATACAGAAAATATTGACAGCTATCAAGAAATCTATGCTAGCCTCGGGATGTTCTGAATGGCGGTATCATGATAGAAATAGAAAGTTATCGGGTACGAAAATCTTGAATGAATTCGTTACTACAGTAAGTAAATGTTGTGAATGGACACAATAGAAAAAAAAATTGTCTTTCTCAGGAAAGTGTGAGAAAATGTACAAAAATGACCAATTTAGAAAGAAAAGAACAACTTTGTTTAAAAAAAAACTTCAATGAAATACACTTGATAATACCAACAAAGGGATTAAAATGATTATTTTGTTTTCTGGTGACGCACATTACTTTTCAAAAACCAGAAGTATTTAGGAAATACGCCCACATAACGTTTTGTTTATGTTCATCCGTCGGTCCAAGTGTTCTAGAAAAGTTCGAATTTAAGCACTTTTTTATTTACCCCTTGAACTTAGAATTTGACCCTATAAGGATTCGACAAACTGTCTAATTATTTAATCATATAGGGAAGATAAAGCGAGAACTTTGCCGTACTGTACCGTTGTTTAACCAACTGCGTGTCGAGGTGGGCGAATTGTGATATTATCCACTGTCTTTTATTTCTTTTATGGGTAGGCCTATTGATGAAAATATTTAAACTGGAACATACTGGACAGATTATATAACAGAGAATTCCTTCGTCATTCCGAAATGAGACATGATTGATACCAATACTGTAAGTCATGTATCAGATTCAACGATAGTAACTTCCCAAATCGACAACTGTCTATGCAATTCATAGTTATTCCAATCAAAGACGGCTCTTGACTATTTAAGAGAGCACTGTTATAAAAAGCATTGTTGAATCGCCTAGGGAATTTAAATGGTGTGTATCTAAATGGGTGCGTTAGTTAGGAATGTTCACGGATATATTTTTAGATATAAATATATGCACCTTAATTTAGAAAGGTGTCGTTCTTTAAGGTGAAGCTCGATGGGAGTATTTTTTTTATCAATTTAAGGACACAATAGGATTAAGATGATAACAATAACTGGCCAACACCCACCTGAATAAACTCAAGTTGAATTACTGTAAACAAAATGAGTTCATACATCTATTATTGTATGTTTCCCGCTAGTCTTATTGTTCGTATTGATAAATAAAGTAAACTGATGAATGATGACTGTCCTACTCTCATATAGATCTATGTGCCTTGTCTTAGTTGACGGTTTCCCAATGTCAGTGATGAGGGGGGGCTGGCGTGGCAAAAAACCGCCTAGTTGTTCGGAAGAGACAATAAACCGAGGTAAGGTGTACTACAGGCTGTGCACGTTAAAGATCCCAGTTGGAAATCGAAAGAGTAGGACGCTGTCGTAAGAAAATCTCCGGTCTTCATTAGCCAAAATAAGTTGCTATATAGGTCAGAAAAGCGAATTTGAAATATCTCAGCTCTTCCCAATGAAGTCCAGTAAGTAGGCCTACCCGCCATGTTGCGAGACTCTTTTATATTCTAAACTTAACGACGAAACTAAAATCAGAGTAAAACTTACCGCCTAGTGATTCGTAACCGAACATAGAATCATTGGAATCTAATGTGGAACAATTCCATCTCATAAAACGAAATTGATATTGACATTCCGTTAATCCCAATTTAGCGCCTTCACCGATTGAAACAATGGCATCAGGCCTGCTCCGACAAATGGCTCTCTGTTTCGGAGCCATTCCTGGAATTTTGTTGCAGATTATATTGGCTCCTAGAGCCACCACTGATGAGAGGGCCCTGGAAAAAGAAAAAATATATCTTATGAAAGCGGACGGATTTTTTTCAGATTTAATGCCAAAGATTGTGATTTAAGATGAAGCTGATTTCAATGGTCAACTATAATAGCACAATGAAACGTATGGGTGCAAGACCCTAAAACCGAGGGTAGATCAACAACCAGAGGCCATATTCTTGAAAACTTGACTTAAGATGATTTTCTTGTTCAGTATTTTGAATTCAAATTTAGTTTTATTATCCGATCAGATTAAAATCTGAATTTTGTCAAACGTACGTTTTTGAGAATAAGGTCTCAAAATGTATAAGAAATAATTTACCTTTGTAGATCATATGTAAAGGTAGTTACACTTTTCGTTACATAAATAAAAGTCTCATGTTAACAATTAAAAAAAGAAAATACTTAAAACTGTCTGACTTTATTTTCTCCATAATCGTAGGATATTGACAAAATTAAAGGATATATCTTAGCACAAATTGATAAGTATCGTTTCAGTATTTCTTTTTGTGATTTAAAGGGAATCGGCTTTACTCTTTTTTTCACATTTGTAGATATCTGGACTATCATCTCTGCAGTGCATTTTGTTGTGGATAACCACAATCATGTCTCATATTGACACATGTTGGTACCTGTCAAACTACCAGCAGAGTTAATAAGATTCACTACGGGATTATTAATGATCAGCACACTATAAATATGTATCAGTTTACTCAATTATCCAGCACAACTAAAGATCGCGTGATATTCCTATGTTTATTAATTGAAAAACAGTGAAAGGTGGATGTCGACCATAATTAGATATCAGATCGTATTAGCTTTCTCTAGACAGGTAAATATTGCAGCTAACATAGACACATTTTCTAAGATTTTGCATTAACATCTGACACCTTTCGATTTCGTCGTACCGTGGTACTACTTTGAAAAAAAAAACTTTTACAATAGACAAAATAACGAAAATGAAATAAAACGTACATAATTAATAATACTGCAATGCTGGAGATACACTATAAAACAAAAGTCTGATTCAATCAAATTGTTCACTTTTTCAACATAACATGCATAATTTTACTCTACAACTTCATGAAAGTAGAATGCAGCACAAACTGTTTAGTTTGTCAAGTTTTCGGCGATGACCCCAAAAATTGGTAAGGAAATTACATGAAAATCTAAACCATTAATTTCTTAGAGTTTGATTTAATAACCAAGGACCATTATTTAATAACCAAGGACCATTATTTAATAACCAAGAACCATTATTTAATAACCAAGGACCATTATTTAATAATCAAGGACCATTATTTAATAACCAAGGACCATTATTTAATAATCAAGAACCATTTTTGACAATCAAGGACAATTATTTAATAATCAAGGACCATTATTTAATAACCAAGGACCATTATTTAATAACAAGGACCATTATTTAATAACCAAGGACCATTATTTAATAACCAAGGACCATTATTTAATAACCAAGGACCATTATTTAATGATCAAGGACCATTATTTAATAATCAAGGACCATTTTTGATAATCAAGTATCATTATTTAATACCATGTAAACGACTAGTAAAGGTTGTCATCCCGTCACATGTAATAATTACATGGTTTGCTTTGTTCAGTAACATGGATATATTAATGATACATTATCTAGGCTAGACATTACATGTGTCTAATATAATCCAGGTATCAATATCCATGTATTCTTTTAATGATTACTGTCTATGACCTTGCTATTTTTATATCCAACATTATGGAGAATGTCTCTCACAAAGACAAATTGAAACAAATTGAAAATACAGTCATTTTAAAAGCCGACAAAATCATGAAGGTGAGCACAAAATGAGTGCAAAAAACTGAATGACCAAGCTTTCCAACTGTCGAGGAAGCGCAGCCTGTAGGAATTAGGGTTGTTCACTATCAAATTAGTACCCCAGATTACATTTCTTGGTCTATTTCATTTCGGGCCCACTAGCCCAAAATGAGTACAAAAGCCCAAATGAATAATTTAACATTTTACTGAATGACGAAGCTATCCAATTTCCATGTTTATCAACAGCACTGTCCAAGGAACACAGCCTGTAGGGCCTTAGTTTACTGTCATATTAACACCCCAGATCTACATCTCCATGTCTTTCGAGATCAAACCAGGTATTCTAATGAATATTAATGGACAATCCATGGGCTGGATCGCTGAAGTAAATGAATGATTTAATTTGAGGGTAGCTCGAGTCCATACGCGCGTTGAAGACATTTTCTTAAAATATTCACAGACGATAAATCACAATAAATATTAATAGAAACATTGACCCCTATCTTCAACCTGTGGCGAAACCCAAAGGCGCTTTACACTATTCTGGTAGCTATGTTTTGAATATTTTTGTACATGGAAATATATTTCTACAAATAATTAAAATCAACAAGAGATACAGATCTTCTATTGAAGTATAGTGGAGAATGTGGCAAAACAAGACTTTAAAAAAAATTTCATTTAAGCAGGTATATATATGGAGATATATGTATGCCATTTATACTGTTATTGGAGAATAGTGATATTGCATTGGCACATACTTACACATATCCAATATAAATATGATAAATCGTTTGAATATTAAAATTTATTGCTTAAGGTCTTTTGGTATCCCTAAAAAAACTGCAATCTAATGCCGAAGATCTAATCATTTTTGATACCAGAATGATCTGACATCGAGAAGGCCGCCCAGACAACGGTTGGACTTACTGTCATTTTAGCAAATATTTGAACAATTATCCAATGTTGAGTTCCGAATGATTTTGACCAGGAAATGAATAAGCTGCTTCATGAAGGATAGCATAGCGATTTGTCGACAATCGCCTTTTAACTTAATGGAATACGCATATACTACTGACTACCAAACCATGGCATCCATTCACCAAAAACAATTAATTTCAAATGAATGGAATCTTCCCTTCCCCTAAATCAAAATATTTCAAGATCTACATGTATTATATTTATGTTATTGTATATTAAGGTGGTAAGGGGCAGTAATAGCTACTGTGATATGATCCTTACTCCCGGTGTTCAACAATATGTATCTGTCTTGTTTTAATATTGTGAAGTTAATGTGGATTTGCCATTAATATCATTATAACGGTAATCATTGTTTCATGAACCTCATTTGGTTTTAAAGATGTTCAAATTGCTTCACCAATATCCAAACACTTCATTACATCTATGATATAAATATTCCCAAACACACCCTTTAAATTGGCCGGAACTGCCAGTCTGAAATTAGGTGTAGGTGGTTGGATTTGGTCTACGCTTTATTACATTAACATAGTTCATACGAAACAAATACTAACTCGATTAATAAAAATATTTTAAACCGCGAGAAGACGAGATACTGATAATATAAGAAGACCACCAACATGGAGAACTGCTGTTTTTCGACCCAATATCAAGTTTTTATTTACAATAATTTGAATATCAATATTAGTGGTGGCGAATGGTGTTAACATGTTATCGTCATACATTGTATTGTTACTACGAATTTCCAGACGAAAGACTAGAAAGTAGCCTACTTGACTGTTCGTCATATCTGTGATGGCTCCCAGTCCATTGGTTTGATGATTTGACCTACTCGAAGCCTAGATCTTTCCTGATGCACTTACAATTAAACATTGCTATGACAGTGAGATCTTGTCAATTCGGAAAGTGCTTGAATAGTTGTTCATGAAATATGGATGATGCATTTTTGACGTCCAACTACGTGTATGTACTAATAAATTGGATCGTTAATTAAAAATTCACTGCCACTTCATTGCCTACATACGTAACATGTCAAGTCAACATGTGATTCTAGGTCTAGGCATGGATTTGCTACTAAAAATGATGTTATTGTTCAACGAACCCGTTAAATATTTATGCAAAGATCTTCCAATGTTGATCTCCTGATCGTTAAAACGTTGTAGCCCTTGCTTAAAAAATCTATTCCTTCAACCCAGGGAAGCCTACTGGAATTGGTCTGAATACAGCAAGTCCCATACAATTTTGACCTCGTGTTATCGATAGCATTAACAAATTTTGATCTCATGTTATCATTTGATATATTAATAGTATGCACAGAATTGACCTCGTGTAATCATCTGTTATATCAATAATATTCACAATATTAACCCCATATTATCATCTGCTATATCGACAGTGTTTTCAATATTGACCTCATTATCTGTTATATAAATTATATTCACAATGTGGACCTCACATTATCATCTGTTATATCAATATTGACCTCATATATTATCATCTGTTATATCAATAATATTCACAATTTAGACCTCATGTTATTATCTGTTTAATCGACAGTATTTTCAATATTGACCTCATTATCTGTTATATAAATTATATTCACAATGTGGACCTCACATTATTATCTGTTATATCAATATTGACCTCATATATTATCATCTGTTATATCAATAATATTCACAATTTAGACCTCATGTTATTATCTGTTTAATCGACAGTATTTTCAATATTGACCTCATTATCTGTTATATAAATTATATTCACAATGTGGACCTCACATTATTATCTGTTATATCAATATTGACCTCATATATTATCATCTGTTATATCAATAATATTCACAATTTAGACCTCATGTTATTATCTGTTTAATCGACAGTATTTTCAATATTGACCTCATTATCTGTTATATAAATTATATTCACAATGTGGACCTCATATTATCATCTGTTATATCAATATTGACCTCATATATTATCATCTGTTATATCAATAATATTCACAATTTAGACCTCATGTTATTATCTGTTATATGAATAATTTTCACGATATTGACCTCATATTATCATCAGTTATATCAATGATATTCACAATTTAGACCTTATGTTATCATCTGTTGTATCAATAATATTCACGATATTGACCTCATATTATCATCTGTTATATTAATGATATTCACAATTTAGACCTTATGTTATCATCTGTTGTATCAATAATATTCACGATATTGACCTCATATTATCATCTGTTATATCAATGATATTCACAATATGGACCTCATATTATCATCTGTTACATCAATAGTATTCACAATATTGCCCTCATGGTATCAGTTGTTACATCGTCCAATTTATAAATGAAGTATTTGGGATCTGAGATTGACCTCACGTTATCATCTGCCATATCAATAGTATTCACAATAAAGACCTCACGTTATCATCTGTATAACAATACTGGACTATAACATAGTAACATATTTTCGATTTTTTGAGGATGCAAATTCTGTATCATGTAGCCTACTTTTGTTGTTACGTCATCACCAAAACAAGCATAGCATCGTGCGATATATTCGTGGTAGGTATAATTATGATGTTAAAATTTTGAAAGAGACGCATCTACAAATATGGAGTATATGTGTCATTTTGTTACAAAATTTTATGAATCGCATTTATTCGTTTGTTGATATCCTAGTGAGAGTTTGGTCGTAAATCACATTTCTAGCCTACAACTGTATTACCAACCTAACACTTTATGAAACATGAGATACAAAACCTTTCTGAAGTTTTATTACCTTTCGCATGACAGAATAAGCATTTGAAATCGGTGACATGTAACTTACAAATTTGGTGAATTCACGTCTAGCTACTTTGATCTATTGTAAAAAGCTACTGTAGACCAATTTGCTTACCAAATTACAACTGATGGAAATAGATAGCAAGTGAACGAGTAAAACAGTAAATTTGGATAGGAGATGATAAAATCAAATTTGTTATTGTTGTATATTGAGTCAAACTGAAAATGTATAAAACATAAACATAGACGAGTAAGTAAAGACCTTCCTTAAGTCATACAGCACAGATGTTCAATTCAATTACAACTGGAACTATACTATCCGAGTGTTATATCTCCAGTGCTACCTAAAAGTAGGACAATATTATTAAAAGTCTGAGGCATATGAATTCGATTGTATTGAACACATCATGGTTACATGAATACATTGTCAATAGATGGGACACCTTAATCAAATGATCTTTCAGCATTCAGACTGTATACAGACTGTGATCTCAGAAAGTGTCGTCCGAGCTGTCATAACGCTCCGAAAGTCACAATTACAGATCTCTGAAAGTTTCGTCTGTGTTGATATCAAGTTCCTTTCATGATTCTTTGAAAGTGCCATTCCCGTTGATATCAAGTTCCTTTCGTGATTCTTTGAAAGTGCCATTCCCGTTGATATCAAGTTCCTTTCATGATTCTTTGAAAGTGCCATTCCCGTTGATATCAAGTTCCTTTCATGATTCTTTGAAAGTGCCATTCCCGTTGATATCAATTTCCTATCATGATCCTCTAAAAGTTTCGTCTGTGTTGATATCAAGTTTCTCTCATGATCGTGTGAAAGTGTCGTCCGAGTTGATATTAGATTCCTGTTATGATATATGAAAGTGTCATCCTGGTTCATATCAAGTTCCTATCATGATCCGATTTGAAGTTCAATAACAGACAACACAAAAAATCATTGATCAACCATAAACATCCTGCAGGGTCATTAGGTGCACTTTCCTTACAGCCAATTTAGACTTGAAATTATGCCGATTATCTCGCTAGAACTGATTTATGGTAACAACCTTTGTACTGTAGAAAGCTTAGCACAATTTTATTATACACAATTTTACGACGACTTTCTATTATAATAAAAATATTTACGCCTTGTTATTCACTTTATATGAACAGCTATTGAATCGGAAAAATTATGATCTTGCCACCCAAAGATAGGACGGCAAAGAACTACAAGTACCAAATTGACGAAAGTCAAATAGATGAAGTCGGTTATGTGTAAATACTGATTGCCGTACATAGATAAGTCACATTTAATTATACTATAACCTAATTATGCATTGCATTCCGTCTTCATTGACACAATCAAAGCAGAAATGTAGAAAATAAACTTCATATTAACGTATCATTTCATTTGGGCTCGGCACCAAAAGAATAAAATTAGTAGGTACTCTCGTGTAGTTTTGGTTTGATATCATCTAATGAGTAGATATAATATAGGTGCTTTTATCTAGTTTTGGTACGCATTATCATGTAGTCTTCGTACATACAGTCTTCATATGTATTTCCATGTGGTTTTGTTACATACTATCATGTAGTCTTGCTATTTACTTTCATGTACTCTTGGCTGTCCTGGTCTTGGTATGCACTATCACATGGGCATGGTATGTACTATCATGTGGTCTTGGTATACACCATAATGTTATGCTCTTAGGTACTGCCATAAATTCGTTTAACTTGGCAAATGGTACGTACTATAATGTGGTCTTAGTGGGTCTTTTATCTAGTTTTAGTATGCACTAGCATGTGGTTTTGGTACATACATGTACTATCGTGCGTTTAGTCTTTGCATATACTATTATGTAGTCTTGGTATCAACTATAATGTACCCATGGCTGAACTGGTCTTGGTATCCATTATCATGTAGTTTTGGTATATACTTATCAGGTAGTCTTGGTATACATGTTATGCTGTAAGGCACTGCCATTAAGTTATTCTGGAGATTGGTAAATGCATGGCATTGTAATTGTAAGAGCAAAAGGCAGAACTTAGTCCGATAATTACCGAGTTTAAAACACAATAAACAGAGATGTCAAATGACAAGTAGCATTTTTTACCCAGACCAATATCATTAATTTTTCTTTTCATTTTAATTAACTTTCGTTATTTATCAAATCAGGTTTCTC